ATCTAGCAAAGATCGAGTCAGGATCAGTCGATGTAGCACTCGATCTCTAGCCTTGTCTTAACCCCTATCGCCTCGTTTAGACTCCTCATACCTGTTCCTACACACTTGCAGAATAAAAACATAAAACTGAAAGAGAAATGAAGCAGAAATATATACAAGATAGACATGGGAATGCCTCCCAAGTGCGCTTTCTTTAACGTCTTTAGGTAGACTTTACTTGGTTTAGGCGGATGGTGGGTCTTGGAAAAGCACCGAGGTATTCTCCTTGTCATAGCTGTCCGCCAAGTAAGGCTTGACTCAGTGTCCATTAACGGTGAATGCACTGCCACTCTTTCCCATCAGAGTAACAGCTCCATAAGGCAACACTTCTTGGATCACAAACGGCCCGCTCCACCTTGACTTCAGCTTTTCCGGGAAGAGTTTGAGTCTTGAGTTGTACAGCAACACTAAACCTCCCTCCTTTAGCTCCTTGGCAACCAACTTCCTGTCATGAGTCTCCTTAGTCCGCTCCTTGTATATCCGAGAGCTCTCATAAGCGTTCAGTTTTAACTCATCCAGTTCGTGTAGCTGAATAAGGCGCCTCTCCTGAGCAGTATTGAGGTCAAAGTTCAGCCTCTTCACAGCCCACAACGCACGGTGTTCTAGCTCAACTGGGAGATGACAGCCCTTGCCATAGAGTAGAGTGAAAGGGGTTGTACCAATCGGTGTTTTGAAGGCAGTACGGTAGGCCCAAAGAGCGTCGTACAGCTTCACTGCCCAGTCTTTCCTTGTTGCTCTGACGGTCTTCTCTAGTATAGCCTTGATTTTCCGGTTGAAGACTTCCACTTGACCGCTTGTTTGAGGATGATACGGTGTAGCCACCTTATGCTTAACTCCATACTTTCTCAAGAGGTTCTCAAAAACCTTGTTTATGAAGTGGCTTCCTCCATCGCTTATAACCACCTTAGGTACCCCAAACCTCGGGAAGATGCTACTCTTGAACAGCTTGATTACCACCTTAGAGTCGTTTGTAGGGGAAGCAATAGCCTCAACCCATTTAGAGACATAATCCACTGCTACCAAGATGTATTTGTTGCCATATGAAGAAGGAAACGTCCCCATGAAGTCTATGCCCCACGCGTCGAACACGTCAACCTCGAAGATGGGAACCTGAGGCATTTCGTTCCTCTTAGTGATATTCCCTGCTCGTTGACATGCCTCACAGCTCTTCACAAATTCGTGTGCATCTTTGAAGATGGACGGCCACCAGAAACCGGCTTGCAACACTTTCGTGGCAGTCTTGAATGAAGCGAAGTGTCCTCCGTAGGAAGAGCCATGGCAATGATAGAGGATGTCTCTAGCTTCTTCCTTTGTAACACATCTCCGGTACAAACTGTCTACTCCTCTCTTGTATAAGTAGGGCTCGTCCCAAAAGTAGTCACTAGCCTCCCTCATGAACCGCTTCTTGTGATAGCTGTTGAGATGTGTTGGCTCCTCACCACACGCTAAATAGTTCACCACATCAGCATACCACGGTAGATCCTCCTCTTTGAAACTCAACACCTCTTCAAACCTCTCTTCTAGCTTTCCACAAACAGCCGTGCTAATCGCCATGAGTTGCTCTTCTGGAAGAGAGTCATCTAAGGGGAGAGACTCGTTGATCCTTAGCCGTGAGAGATGGTCAGCGACTCCGTTTTCTATTCCCTTCTTGTCTTTAATCTCCATGTCAAACTCCTGGAGCAAGAGAATCCACCTTAAGAGCCGAGGCTTAGTGTCTTTCTTCGAATAGATGTATCGCAAAGCAGCGTGATCCGTGTATACAATAGCCTTGGAACCAACAAGATATGATCTGAACTTCTCAAAGGCGAACACCACTGCAAGCAACTCCTTTTCTGTAGTGGTATACCTTGTTTGCGTGTCATCCAAGGTTCTTGAAGCATAGTAGATCACGTGTAGCTTCTTATCTTTCTTCTGACCAAGAACAGCTCCTACGGCGTAGTCACTAGCATCATACATGATCTCAAAGGAAAGAGACCAGTCTGGTGCTTGGACTATAGGAGCTGAGGTAAGGGCTTCCTTGATGGTCGCGAAAGCTCTCAAACACTCCTCATCAAACACAAACTCAGCTTCTTTGCACAACAACCGTGTAAGAGGGCGTGCAATCTTGGAGAAATCTTTGATGAAGCGCCTATAGAACCCGGCGTGTTCCAAGAAGCTTCTGACTCCCTTAACGTTAACCGGCGGCTCAAGACCCATCATGACTTCCACTTTAGCCTGATCAACCTCAATTCTCTTCTCTGATACCTTATGACCAAGCACGATCCCTTCCTTAACCATAAAGTGGCATTTCTCCCAGTTCAGCACCAAGTTTGTCTCTTCACAACGCTTTAGTACCCTGCAAAGATTCAACAAACACGCAGAAAATGACGCACCATAGACAGAGAAGTCATCCATGAACACCTCTACCATCTCTTCTATTAGATCGGAGAAGATCGACATCATACACTGCTGAAACGTAGCCGGTGCATTACACAATCCAAACGGCATCCTTCGATATGCGAAGGTGCCGTAGGGACATGTGAAGGTCGTCTTCTCCTGATCATTTGAGTGAATTGGTATCTGAAAGAAATCGCTATACCCATCGAGGAAACAGTAGTAAGGGTGATTAGCAAGTCTCTCAAGCATTTGATCAATAAAAAGCAAAGGGAAATGGTCTTTCCTAGTCGCAAGGTTAAGTTTCCTATAATCAATACACATCCTATGACCAGTGATGGTTCTAATAGGAATAAGCTCATCCTTTTCATTCCTTATAACCGTGATCCCTCCCTTCTTAGGCACCACGTGTACAGGAGAAACCCACGTGCTGTCACTTATGGGATAAATCACGTCAGCCTCTAAAAGCTTAAGGATTTCTCTCTTAACAACCTCTTTCAAATTAGGATTCAAACGCCTTTGATGTTCTATAGAAGAGGCGTTCTCATTATCCAAGTGAATCCTGTGAGTGCAAAGCATTGGTGAAAGGCCCTTGATGTCACTTAAAGAGTACCCAATGGCCTTCCTATACTTTCTCAGCTCAGTAAGGAGCGAGTGCAACTCATCATCACTTAGGTTTTCATTCACAATCACGGGATAAGTGTTATTAGGCCCTAAGAAAATATACCTTAGCCCTTTTGGGAGCTCCTCAAGGTCCACCTTTAGGGCTAACAGCTCACTCTAGTCATCCTCGTGGCTGTTGTTGTTGCTTTCCTCCTTGGAGCCCTCCTTAGAACCCGAGGCATGGCCCTTAAGACTGCTTTCCTCCACCGCTATCCCTTCTGAAATCGAGTCCTCCAGTCGATCTTCCTCTCGATGTCGTCTAGATCGAGCCATTTCGCTCGATTCACTTACTCGATTTGATGTGGATCGAGTAAGGGATCGAGACGCTCGGTCGATCTCCTGATTAGACCCCAAAATGATCGGAAGGCTTCTCTCGATCGTCGACTCGATTGTTTTTCCTGATCGATCATTCCTCTCGATCAGCTGGGACTCATGTGTTGAAGTTCCCATTGCTTGCTGCATCCAGAGCCATCTGGTACTTCCAATCAACACCTCTGAAGAAGATACCCAGCAGCTGTACTTCATTGAACCCATGGTGTGGACAATCCCTTTGGTACAGCTTGAACCTCACCCAGGCTGCTTTAAAAGCTTCAGTTGGACCTTGCAAGAATGTGGCGATTTTTGTCCTCAACTCCTCTGACCTTGCATCATCAGAACCAGATTCCAGCTGTTTGAACCAATGTGTTGCATCTCTTTCCAAAGAGTGAGGGAAAAACTTGTAAAATAGGAAATCATTGGTGACTCCATTGGCTTTAACACTTGTAGCCAGGTCTTCAAACTTCTCTATATGATCTATTGGGTGTTCATGTGGAAGCCCATGAAAAGGGTGTTGACCTACAAGCTGGTAGTAACTGGGTTTCAGCTCAATGTCATTCCTCTGAAAGGCTGGTGGGCGGATTGCAGCTTTATTTGCATAGAACTGACCAGGCCTGTTGTAATCTCCCAGAGTCCTCTGTGGATGACGCCCAGCAGCATCTCCAGCAGCTTGTTGTTGCACATTCTGCTCCTCAATCACAACGCCATTGTCATCTATCCTCTGCCCATCTTCATTTCTTCTGTTCCCTTCTCTGTCAACTAAATGACTTTTAACATATATCCTCAAAAAAAGTGGTCCAACCATTTTAGTCTGCTTTTTGGCTTTCCTGATGGTTCTCTCTAGCTTGGCGAGTTCGTCGTTGCCTAGAGTCACAAGTTCTTTGTCTTTGTTGCTCCTGGTACTGCGATTATGCATGCACCTGAAGTAGACAACAGAGAAGTGAAGAAGGTTAGTAAACAGAAAATAAAGGCTTAGTCAAAATTCTAAAACTAAAAATCTGAAAGTAATATCTAAGACCTCGACAACGGCGCCAAATTTTGATATGGTCAAATTAACCCTTAGAGCTACTCTCTCAAATTAAGAGATCATTATAGTACTTAGAGATCGAATCCACAAGGACTTAATACAATTACTCAACAGATTTTAGATTCAAAAGAAGCTAAGCAGTCAATAATAAATAAAACTCAATAATATAATGAATGTGACAAGATCAAAAGCGGATTGTGAGTTCTTAAAATCAATAGAGACAAGACGCTAAGCAATGGAAAATTCGCAGATTGACATAAATCGCAGACTACAGACTGAAAGGAATATTTATTAAAACCGTTCTAGAACTCGAAAACACGAATGTAAAACCAATCGACTTCCGTCGCAGAGATTAACTATGATCAGATTCTAGAATTCCAAATTCCTTTGCAATTTCTAACAACCTAAGCAAGCATTATGGTTCAGGTTCGATATGTTCACAAAATCGCTAATCCAAATTCCTTTACAATCAATTCTTTTGCTCATCTAAGATAGTTCTGGTGATTAACAATGTTTCCACATCTATTAAACAACCTAAGATCTGATTTCTATGTGATCAATCTTAAAACCAGTGTTAAAGCAATTTAGATGAAGAACCAAATGATTTATCCTTCCAATTTTGTAGTTCTAACAATTCATTATCAACCTTTGAATAACCCAAAACCTAACTAGCAGATTACTCAGACATATCAAGTAAAACACAAATCATGACTGAATAAAATTGCATTAAGAAATATAGTAAAAGATGAAGGGGTTCGAAATTTTTCTCTACAGAGTATGGATTTGTCTCCCAAAAACTCTCTATCTAATCTCTCTCTCTTAAGCCTTGTTCGTTTGCTTGACGCTGGCGGCTGCGGCTGCGGCACTGCGTTCAGAAGCTGCGTTCAGATGCTGCGTTCAGACGCTGTGTTGTCGTTCGTTTGGTTGCCGTGCGTCTGGTCGCAGTGTCTGCCGCTGGTTTGTTCGATTGCTAGCCGCGCGATTGATCCCACCTTTTGATTGTGTGTGTTTCAAATTCTAAACTGTACCAAAAGAGAAAACAAGAGTCTCATGATTAACAAATCAAACCTCGTTTCCCGAACATTATACAAAGACTTAGACTTGTGATGACCCATGAGACACACACACAAATATGTATGACTAAAATAAAGAGAACACATGTGACATTGATATTCAATTTCAAAAGAAACACAAGCTTTTTGTAGTTTGCATTCACACAGCGAAAAACATACACAAAAACTGAAACTGAAAAGGTGCAAACCTTATGCGATGAGGAATAGAAGAACGGTGAACATTAAGGTTTCGTAAGTGAAAGCAGCTAATCATGTAGTTCCAATAAAACCATCCAAACATTTCAGAATCATCACAACAAAAATCAATTTCGCTCGAGCTTACACATCAAACACTTAGCAGCTTCGCTTCTTAAAAACAAAATTTCAGCAAGAGAGAAACATAAAGTTTTACTGGATATCATCTTATCATTTCACGCCTACTCAGCTAAGAACAGAAAACCCAGAATAATATATGAATCTTATAAGAGAGTTCATGTGTTAAAAACCCAGAGAAATCGAAGGCAATAAAACAAAATCAGGTTGATGAATTGAAGTCAAAACACAAAACCCACATCACTAAAACGAAATCAGATTGATGAATCAAAGGCAAAACACAAAACCCAAAATCAAGGTAAGCAAATCGAAATTAGACAACTGAAACACAGAGAAATCGAGCTTCGAAGGAGGATGGAACTGAAGCAAAGAGAGTAATTGAAACATAGAGAAAACGAACAGGCCCAAACCTAAGAAGAAGATCGGCGAAGAGAAGAAGAAGATCAGCTAAGAAAAGAGAAGAAGATCGGCGAAAGAGACGCAGAAAAATATTTAGTTCTTTTAGGATAAATAGCATGTTTTGTAATTAACAAAATTTAACAAAGATAGTTTTGTCTTTTGCAGGTTTAGACGCAGCTTCTTTAATCGCAACACTGAATTTCATTGGCGTCCAAAAAAAATGAACACAAGACGCAACGTCTGGCCGCAACATCTGGTCGCAGAAGATGCGTTACGTAAACGAACAGCGACTAGACGCATATCGCAGTCGTCTGCGTTAAGCAAACGAACAGGGCTTTAGTCTCGATGAAAACAAGATGATAGTCTAACAATGGCTTAGAAAACCTAAATACAGTCTAAACACGAACTGGGGCAAAAATGCAAATAGTGGAAAACTTCTGGGCCAAGTTGTAAATTTTTCCAATGAGTTTTTACGCTCTCTTCGCGACCACGACCAGTGTCGATCGACAATAAGTGGTGAGTGTTGATCGACACCCTGCTTCATAGTACTCTCCGACTTGGTCTTTTCAGCATCAGTTTCAACATAGCTCTAAAAGGCTCCAAAACCCACAGTTATGCTCCAAACATACCTAGACCAGCAAAGACTCTATACGACTCGAAAAATACCAAAAAGACCCTATAAACAAAACTTATATCATGGTCAAAAACTAGCAAAAAACTATGATATATCAACTCTCTCCCAAAAAAAAATGTTAAATATTACTCTCTCCATTCATGATAATTTGATGTTTTGATTTTATTTTCGTTCTCTAAAGATTAGAGTTATAAAAATTAAATGTATTTTTTGTCAATTAATGTTAGTAGATTGTAAACTCCAAAAAACAAATAACTAAAATTATTTATATTTTTAAATTGTTATTGATTAACAGTTATTGAAAAGTAGTTAGTATAAAATGTAACTAATTATAACTATTAATTAATTATTTCTTAATTTGTGTAAATAAGTGAAAACATCAAATTATTAAAAATAAAAGAAGTATTATATGAGTTGGTGATTATTCAAAATGTTCACCAACATTTTTTTTTTACGTCGTAATGTTCACCAACATTAGTTTTCACCGTCTCAAATAAATTATTATTTTCTCTCTCGTATATAAAAAGATCAAACCCTTGTGTTGTAAAGAATACACATACATGAGTGCAACTGAAGAATCTCTCATTCCCTCGCGTTTTGTTTCTCACTTATAATATTCGTTATAATATATATAGATATATACACACAGTGCCAATTGAACAATTTTTGATGTCTTATATAAATTTTAAAAAACATGTCTTTTATATATTATATTTAAAGTTACAAAATATTAATTAAAAAATTACAGTTAAATTTTATAAAACAATATAATTTTAAATAAACAAATTCAGTTCATAAATAGTTTATAAAAAAAAAACAGAAAATACATATTATTGAAATATATTCGTTTTATATTTCTACCTGTAAAATCATTTATTAAACTTACTAATCGATAACTTTAAATATTTATCGTCTCAGTAAAATAATTTTATACAAAAATATTTATTAATTTATCTTATTTTATGAAATAAAAATGAAACAATAATCAACTTTTTTACATCAAACTTGAACGTTATCACAAATTGATAAACGCATAGTTATAAATTTTTTTTTTTGTCTGATCATTCCAAAAAAGTTAAAAATACAAAAAACCGTAAAAATAAGTCAATAATTCACATATATAGCATTAAAGATATAAAACATGTTTTTAAACTTTGATCGGCTACATGTTTTATTTGGTAATAAAAGCCATAACATTGTTAACAAAACCAGTATAAATATAATTTAAAAAACAGTATATATATTATTATTGTTAAAAATGCTTTGAATCTTTTTATTTACATATAAACACATTAAAAAAAATATGCCCATTTAAAATTTACTATCTTAACCGGTCACTTGGATAGCTTACTCTGTTAGCTGGCTCTACATATACATAAATTTCATTTTTATATTATAAATTTATAACATATTTAAATACATATAATTTAAAAAATATTATATAATACTTGAACATAGTTATTCCATAAACTGAAAATTCTACTGTTTTCAAATTTTGCCAAATGAAATTATAAATTCCTTTTTTTAAAATAGTTTTTGTCCAGATTGAACAAGAGAATTGTATTTTCATTCTTGATAAAATTAAATAAAGAAATTGAACAATTTTGGCTTTTGACACAGTACTTGTATAGAATGAGCAAAAAAAGTCAAATATTCTCAAATATTCATTAGCTTGCTTTCTCTTGTATTTCACATTCTTTTGTTTGATAGTCCATACAAACAAAATGAATTTACACATGCACAATGTTTCTAAATGGGTTTTGATAGATGATTTTATCTAAATTCATCTCATCGCCTAACATAAAATAAAATAAATAATCTTTATAAGCACGGTGCCAACTTGACACTAAAAAAATTGTTGACACTACACAATCTACATTTAAAAAAATATAATCCATATTATAACGATATGCATTAAGAATTGTTTTCATATCTTATAGTGGTTTGATTAAAATTATTAAAGAGAAAAAAAAAGTAAAATAACTATTTGCAAAAAAAAAACTATATTATATTTTCTATCAAGTTTTACAGAGAACAATAATATCATTAAAAATGTATATACATCCTCCAAAAATTAAGAATTTCACAGTATATAAAATCAGTCTAAATAAATTACATGGATAAATCATCAAAAACATTTCACTAAATTAAATATATTTTCCATTTATAAGTTAAAATTCTTCATTATTGTATAATAGTTATATTTAGATTTTTCAACACAAAATCTATCTAATTCAGGCTAAAGATCATTTTTCAAATTTTTTGATCAGATCATTGCCGTCTAGCAAATATAATAAAACAATTTAGAAGGAAACTCTAATGTTCTTCCTTAGATATGCATGTGCACTTCTTCTGTTCTTCTGTTAACTCCTAAATTGTCCCCACCAAAATAACACAAACTCAAAAATAGGATATTCATTGTTGAGCATTTTTTTTATTTACCAGGTTCCTCTGAAAAGTTTTATGTGAATATGAATATATGTTTAGATATATACCTGAATCTTCCTTTGAAGTACTTTCACGTATTCTACAGCTTCTTCTAACATGTCTGCAGTGTTTGTTTGCTGCAACAAAAGCAAGAAGTAAACTGAAATAGTCAGAGCCTAGATTTAAGATCTCTACATATATCAGAACCTGAAAATTTTCCTTAATTTGTTCATGATATAAAAAAAAAAACTAAATTCATACTTCAACAATATGTAATACTCCATTTATTTCAAAATAAGTGTCATTTTGACACTTTTCACACAAATTAAGAAAAGCATTAAAAGTTCTGTCTTACCCTTTATTCACACACAAAATAACATTCTCTTTCTAATTAATACATTAATATAACAGGGTTAAAACAGAATTTTTGTTTAAAAAATTGTATTGTAAATACAAAACGACACTCTTTGTGAAATAAAAATAAAACTCTAAAACGACACTTATTTTGAAACGGAGGGAATATAAGTCATTTGGTCAACGGGACAACCATTCGAATCAATATCAAAATCTTCAGGTTACTAACTGAGCTAAGAACCATAAACAGCTTATATTTGGTTATCTTCATTAATACTATCTTATTAACCACTAATATTATATATTATTTAATTCATTTGAATCCATACAATTGCATAAGACATCTAGAGGTCATCGGAAACCCATTTATGATACCTTATCCATATTAGGAACAAGCTCTTGTAGTTTTCTTATTCTATCACTTATTCGCGTTCTTCGAACCTACAAAATAAAAAGTAAAAATAAATAAATAAATTTCTAAAGACAAGAACTGAACAATTCTCTATTCATTAAAACATAGAAACATAGAGTAAACACTGAATTTTCCATAAATTAAAGTAACGATATAATCTTTTCAATTTTCATCAGTAAACTTCCATGCATTCAAAGAGATGTAAACTTCATCACTAAACTTTCATAATTTGAAGGGAAAGATAGAATCTTTATCAGTAAACTACTACAATGTAAAAATTGAACTTTTCTTTTACCCTCTCGGCAATACTACGAGGATGCGTTGCACAACCACGTTTAGCACGAACCCTGAAAGCAACAGAGTCCTCCAAAACGTTATCCATAGCATGGACTTGACCGCTGCTGTGCTCTCCTTTCTACTTACAAAAGAAAAGAAAACACGAAAAACAGCCACTTAATAGTAAGCCTCAAACGTTAATCAATATCACACAATTCATAGGTAATACACATATAATCCCAATGGATCATCTAATGTACTAACGCAAAACTACCTTCAATATAATATTAAATTTACAAATGTGCAAAGAGATGTGGAGAATCACTACATGTTTACCCGTTAGGCCATTAGCCACCAAAATCTACATGACCAATCATGCGGACTAATGTATGTGCAATTTCTTAACATCTACCAATATGAGCATTCTTTATTGTTTCACATCAAAGCCACAAAGACGATAACTAAAAAAGGAAATAAAAACTGCAACTTGCTAAGTTTGGTTCAAGAAAAGAAAACTTCAAGTTGTCAATTTTAAGACAAGACTGGTCCTCTCTCAATCTTTACATGTCTCATCTCCAGAAATTAAGTCAGCATTTTAACTACAATTTCAAACAACTTGTCAAAAACTAAAATAAGTTCTAAGTCACTTAAGTTCATTCCTTTTTTGCTAAATTACAAAAACAAAACTTAATTTTGGTTGACCCAAATGATTAGTAGAAATATAATCTTTACCATCTGAGAAGTAAACTCAGGAGAAGAGAAGAGTGCTTCCATTTCTCTAGACCTTTTACTTCCCGGAGAAACATCGATGTTCGGCGGCGACAAGTATTCGCAATTCGCCTGAAGCCCATAGCTTGGAATAAATCCATCGGAGCCACTAAGAAAATCCGCCGGAGTACTGTTCTGTCGGTGAAACTCACCTTGTTGGTAGAATCCATGCTCAACCAGAATCGGTAACTCGAACGAGCCACGACTCGTCGGTAAATCGGCCGAGTTTCCAGTGAGTAACTCGGTGAGACCGAGATTAGTTGGTTTCAGAGACTCTTCTTCATCTTCCTCAAGTAAAGCTTCAAGCCAAGTCGCCGGAGCTGAACGGATCCGAGATAGTCCACTTCGACTCACCTGCCCTCCTCCGCCTCCACTGTTTTCTCCTCCGCTTCCGCCTCTGCTACTACCAACGGATGTTGATTGCATCTGCGACAAGCTCAGTCAGTGAAATCCCCTTTGGCTTTTCTCTGGTTTCAATCGACACAAACAATTTTTTGTTTTCTCTGTTTTTTATTTTTATTTTAATAAATTTAACGGGTCAATGGCTGAGATATCCTCGCCATGAAACTTTTGATCTGAAATGCCCCGTTATATTTAATAATTTCTTTCTGATATATTTTTTAAACCAAAACGTGGATAATGTCTTTTAAACCCTTGGTGAGTATGGAATATTACATATCAACCATAACAAAATCGGGTTACCCACCCAACCCAAACTCAAACCAGATGGATCTCACAATTTAATATAATCAATTTCGTCGTCTTCTTCATTCCAGAGAAATAAAAATCTGATTATGTGTGTTCTATTAATCAAATCTCCTAAGCCCTAGATCTATGAAATACAACTACGATAGCTTTGCCTCCAACTGTAGTGGTTGAGTTTGGTCTATCTTCACCATTGTTTACCGTCTGTTTCTTGCTTGCAATCAATCTCCGCTGTGTTTTTTTGTCTTTTGTGACTTTATTTACTCGATAGCTACCAATTGAATCAGCTCTAAGTAAACGCTTCTTTGGTGATTGACTCCAAGATCAATTCTGCTCTGGAAATCGATGGTCACGATTTGATAATTTTACTTATTTTCACTGATTTTATTTTCTGAAACACACAGAGATTTGTTTGTTACAAAGTCATAGCTTTGTTTTTTTTGTGGTGAAATCAAAAGGTTTTTCTTATCTTATTTCGAAAGGAGAATTAGAAATTGAGTATTTGAAATTTTGTTGATTTGTGTTCTTCGTACGTGTGAGTATATGCACTCGCTTTATCTAATTATATATTTAATCCACAATTGTGGTTAATAATTGTTAGGACTTTGTAAGTAAGAAGCAGAAATTGGATTTTCTCAGACATATAACTCCAAGATGAATAGACTGTTCGTATATTGCCATTCTCTGATTTCATAAAACATAGGCACGCGATTTAGTCTTCTGGTTTAAATCAGCATGGTTAATATTTTATAAGAGCAGCTGATGAGTTTCTTACGTATTGAAGATATTGTTCTTTACTAGCAACCAAGTTAAAACAGATTTTGTTCTTACATTCTGTTGGGGTTTTGTTGATAACAGGATATGACAAAACAGCTCGAGGATGTTTCCTTTTTTAATATTGAAGTCAATCATGTACATTGAGGGGAAAAGACTGAGTCCCAGAAAACTAGTTGTACTCGCATACAGACACTTGTACTTTGAGCATTTTTGTTTAATTAAACAATGTTTTAGAATATATTTTTATATTTGTATTTCTGATTTTAGTTAGTAAAAATATATTCATTACACTTGTAATAGCATATGTTATAGTATTTATCTATTAATCATGAAAATATATGAAACATATTGTAAAAGATAAATTCATGTATTTCACAAACCAATATGTATTTATTATTTATTATATAAAATAGATATAAAATGTTTTTTTAATGTTTAAAATATAATTAAAATTAATTATATTATACATAAAACTAATTAAATGTTGTTCTACTTTGATAAACAGTAACAAAAATGAATTATTTTGTTTTGTAAAAATTATGTTTAAAATAAATAAGAAATAGAAAAAAACTAAAAAAATATATGTGCTGCCAAATTAACACGTGCGTCGTTTTTTGTTTTTTTGGGCGCCGCCAAAATTACATTTAGTTATCCGTAGTTTTTTAGTTGTACCAATTTGTAAATAGTTGTATTTTCGGTGTTTTTAACTTTATTTAGTTTTATTCTATAATAAATTTTTTATTTGTAGTTTTACAGATAATTTTAGTCAAATGTTATTGATTCTGAGGTTTTTATGCATTAAAATATTTTGAAACTCATCATTTGTGGCTTTGACTTCATATGATGGTTAGTATTAAGAAAGTGTTCATAGAAGTGTATGATGTTTGTTGTGTAAATGTCCTTATAAGAAACAATTATACCATCAATTTAGGGTAACCAGTTAGTACATGTTATTTAACTATTTAATAGTTATTTATCTAATGAAAATTTGTTTGTTTCATATTGAATATTTGTTTTCTAATAATTTTTAAAAATCAAATAAAAAACTGACTCTTGAATACTATCAGTTGCACCAGTTATACTTAGTATTCCAAAGATACAAAATAAACACAAACGAGTTACACAGTTTCACCAGCATCACTATTACCACTATACAAATATGACAAAATCCCTCATCTTCCTCTTCTCCTTTCTCCTCCTCTCACTCTTCTTCGATGTTCTCCAACTGATGGGAATCGGTTTTTTGAGTTTTTCCTTTCTTTGCGACACAATCTGGTGGTCTATCAACCATATTTTGTATACGGTCAAGAACAATCCTATCAGACTTGTGAGGTACTGGATAAATCGTCCTGTAATACGCTAATGTTCATAGCTTCATCCTATAATATCCAGTACCCCAGTTTCTCTCAGTAATACCCGCTGTCTTAGTAATACTAGTTGGTCCAGTAATACCCAGATTATGTATCTAGAAAATTTATATTTATCTTTGAATCTACAATGATTTACTACGATTCAGAATAATTCGATGCACATTTAACGATTATAACTGGTCATATTTACTGATGTAAGACTTTTAGCAAAAAATTTCAATAACCCAATAATCTAAAAGAAATTAGAACTATGGCGCTATGAAGAACAAGAGAAACCATGAAGAAGATGAAGATGTAGGGCCCATTGATGGTTTAAAATTAATTGAGAATTAAATTAGATTGTTATTTTCTTTTTATTTATTTTATTTGTATTGAAAAATATATTATTAAATTAAAGAGGAAGAAAGAGTGATGGTAAAATAGAGAGAAAAATAAGAGAGGGGTAGTGAGATCATAGAGGGGGTAGTGAGATTATTTTGAAACAAATAAAGGTATATTGGCTCTTCACCCAAATTTAACAGCAGACTAGATTGTTTTTCGATTGTTTTTATTTTTATTTTTTTGTGAATAATAAAATATTGCAGCTCTTAATTGATAAACAACCCTAACCGTTTGATTAAGAGACTTTCCTAACACTTGACAAAGATGTTAGATGGTACAGAACCAAAAAGGTGAGAGATGCGTCAGCGCGTAAGAGAAAAACATGACTTTAACCAACAAAATTCGGGAAAAAAGGCATTTAAATGTCAAATTTTCAAATTTCGGCCAATTTAGACATAATCTTTTGTCTGAACTATTTAAAATTATTCTTTGCGTTAACTTATGATTAAAATGTTAAAGTTTTGTTGACTACGCCAATATGGGCACATCGTTAACTAGCTTAACAGCCCGATTAAACCCTGTTACTATACCGTCTAATTTGTCTATTATACCAAAACGACGTCGTTCGTTCCTTCTGAGAAATTGATTAAATCCCCAAATCGATCGATGACTTCTACTTCTTTAATCCCTTAATCAAAAATTGGTTCCCCAAATTAACTCTCGAAATCGCGTGAAAGCTTTATCTATTGAACAATTCCTCTTGATTTCTCTTCTATTTTCTCAATCATCGATGGCTTCTTCTTCTGACCAATCTTCTGGCGTCAAAGATCGCGGCCTCTCGTCGAAGTGTGTGTGTGGTTTAGGTGTAATGATGCTGACATCGAAGACGCAAGAGAATCTGGGAAGACCTTTCTACCGCTGTATAAGGCAAAGAGACCAAAGCATGCCTTCAAAAAAAGAGATGTAAGTAGCGTATGCTGTTGCTTTTGTTGGGTTTGATCAGTTCTTTTCTTGTGTTTAGACCGTAAATCTGTGTCAGTATGAATTTCAATTTGTCTTTGCAACAGGGGCATTTGTTTAAATGGGTCGAGGAGGCTGTACTAGAAGAGTTTGAAGATGGTTTACCAAGAATAAGAGGAATTGAAAGTGAAATTAGCAATGCAAAAACTGAGATTGAAGAGTTGAAGCTTTCGATTGATGGATTGAAGGAAGATGCAATGTGGAGCAAAATGGAAATCAGGAAGTGGAGAGTGATGAGCATAGTTTGTTTTGCTTATCTTTTCATCATGACCTTTGTCATTGTTTACTTGGTGATTGGCAAAGGAAATGAGACCAAATTCAATGTTAGTTATTAGTATGAGAAGAATGGTTTGTCTTAGTGTTAGTTAGTAGTTTATGTCATTGTAGTCTCTTAGTGTTGTTCGGATTTGGCTTTATCATAGTTTGTTTTGGGATTGAAGCTTAATGTTTGTCATCAATTGTGTCTTTGGCTATCATCGGATTGGTAATGAAATGAAATGCATTTTGCTTTAACTGAATCATGAGTTCATTATTCAATCTCACTATAACAGGTTTTGTGATTGCAATAAAACAAAGAAATATGATGGTGAAGGAAAAATTTGATTGATATATAACATGCTCATAAACACAATCAACCAAAAACAAACAACAGAAACACCATGTTCGCAAACAACAGAAGTACCTGATCTCATAACAACAAAATAAAACAACAGAAACCATTCCGATCTCATAAAACAATAACACCATGTTCACAAACAGAAACCATTATCCCTTAAAAACACCAGAAAAGTCTACAATACATCAAACCATTATCCCATTTGAAACTTAGTTTGAACATCCAAACCATGATGCCCAACTTTGAGCCTGAGAACCTTCGGACTGCGATCCATGAGCTTGATTAGCTTGTGATCCTTGAGCTGGAGCTGCTTGTGATCCTTGAGCTGGAGTTGCTTGCGATCCTTGAGCTGGAGTTGCTTGCGATCCTTGAGCTCAATTAGCTTGCGATCCTTGAGCTCGATTAGCTTGTGATCCATTAGGTTGCGTTCCATGAGCTCGATTAGCTTGTGATCCATGAGGTGCATTTGTCTGTGATCCTTGAGCGTCTGAAACTACTTCTGGTTGTGAACCAAGTGGAACTCCTCCGAATGAAACTCCTTGTTGTGTTGGAATTCCTTGTTGTGGTGGCACTCCTTCCTAGTTCAGATAAAAAATGTATGCATTTATATTGTCAAAATGTTTATTTAATGTATGCAATCGAGATAAAGAAAAAAACAAACCTGATACTTTCTAGGTCGACCTCTTGATCTTTTTGGAGGAGGTTGAATAGTCGGATTAGAACAAGGTTGCTTGTTGTGTCCATCTTCCAAACAATTGGAGCATGCCATAAC